CTTCCTGATAAAATGGTTTATAAGTATTCTTAAATTAAAATTATGTCTCTTTATAAGCCTATAATACATTACAAGGACATGCCATGCACTCAAATTCTTTTGCCTTCTATAGCAACAGACACCTTGTTCCATATCCTTGCTATTTAAAAAAAATGTCCAGGGACCAGCAGCAGCGGAAACAGCATTACCAGTGAGCTTGTTAGAAATGCATAATCTCAGGCCCCACCCAGGCCTACTGAATGAGAATCCGCAATTTTAACCAAATCCTCAGGTGATGTGTTCGCACTTTAAAGACAAGAAGGCTTGTTTTACGTAACCATACCCTACCACCACCCCCAGAAGCTCCACCACCACCCACTCTCATAGAGACTCAGCAGACCCTAGATGATAACTGTTTCTGAGACTGTAATAATTCTATGGAGTCCACCGATACCTCTAGGCTAGCCCATCAGCATTCTTGGATAGGCTCCTTGGTTGGAAAGGACTAGGGCAAAAACACTCAAATACGGTTCCACTATTCCTAGTGGAATATACCCTGTTCTTACAGGGTATAAATCCAGTGAAGAAAAAGATATCAAAAAAGTCAAGATTCCTGTAGTGCAGATGTTGTTACTAATAAAAGCAGCCCATCAAGCCAATATTAGGAAAGCTAAGAATACCAAGAGAGAGCATACTTTTACTTTAGGCCACCTCCTTTAAGACAGTCATAAAATGGCACTTTGGTCATATTAATAAAATGAAACAAAACACACACACACACACACCATGCATAACAAAACATTGAGTTTCTTTTTTTTTTTTTTCTTTTTGTCTTTTTTCGTGACTGGCAATGGATCGCAACCCTCAGTGTTGCGCCAGTACCAGACCGGGACCGGCAACGGGATCGCAACCCTCGGTGTTGCCCCGCACCTCGCTCAGCCAGCGAGCGGCCAGGCTGTATGTGGGATCCGAACCCTCGGCGGGAGCGCCGCCACACTCCCCAGCGGGGCACTGTAGCAGGGCGCCACCGCGCCGGCCCCCAAAACATTGAGTTTCTGATATGCTTCATTATCTAAAAGATCAAGAAAATATTAACTAAAAGATAAGAGAATTTGAATTGATTCATTCATTTTAAGTTAACTATTGTTTGGTAGTGGTAGCAGCACTTTAACTAGAATTTTCTCCACTACATCTTTTTTTTTTTTTTTTTTAATCTTTAGGTACTTTGTTACAAGGTTGAAAAGTACAAAATGTGCTATCAAAATTATCCATTCCTGAGGTTTCTGATGGCTCCCATGAAGCTATCAACACTATTTGGTAAACGTTCTGTGACTCTGCTTGGATGGTGACTCTCCACATAGTATGGTGGGTGGAGGCACAGACTGTGGAAGCCAGCTGCCTGGATCAAATCCTGATTTGCCACTTACTAGGTGTGTGGCTTGATTTCTCTGTGTCTCAGTTTCCTCATCTGTAAAATGGAGATGATAACGGTACTTACGACACAGAGCTGCTATGATTCAATGAATGAACACATTTAAAGCACTTAGAAACAATGTCTGAAACATGTTGAATACTATGTATTTGCTAGTTTGCTGTTGCTAAATTACTACTGAATATCACAAGAAGCCAAGTTTCACTGGGAATCATTCTTAAGGCAATAGGCAAAGGAAAGAACGTTAGTCACATTTCATTCAAATGTCACTAGCAGGAAAGGTCACCTGCTAACAATTGGGAAATTTCCAAATGTTTGTTCCTTTGATGCCATATGTAAGAAAACAGTGAGGCAATGTGGCCTCAGCAAACTAATTACCAAAACAATTGCCCTGGGTTTTTAAAGTCAATAATCCAAAATTATATCTTACAATTTTAACATCTTCTATAAACATCTGTAGTTGAGAATCTTTTTTCCTTTGGAATTAAGATGGCCTAACTTAAAACAAAAACAACATACATTACCTTCTCATGCCATCTGAACTGTACCCAAATAGTGTTATAAACCACCTACCATGTGAAATAAGTTCATTTTTATGAAGTTTTAACAACGCAATCACTCCCTTAAACTGCCATGTGAAATCACTTTATTTTTATGAAGTTTTAGCAACATAATCACTCCCTCAAAATGCTACCTACATTATTTTTATACAGGAGGAATTATTATCTACTTCCTAGACATTTGCAGTCTATAAAGCATGTATTATAAGTTAAAATTTTACCATTCATTTATTTAATTCTGTTATTGTTTGATCCTCAGTGAAGTTCCATCTGAGATTACAAGATAGCCATTTTCCTACGCACTCTGCCAAATTTTTTTGAACAAATGTTCTGAAATACTGTGAGATTTTTTAATCGAATGAATGAAAAGAAAATCTCTACAAAAATATTACAAACTAGTTTGTATGTACATAATAATCTCCATTTCAGTATAGCTAATAAGATTCCGTGAGTATACTGGTTCTAACCTAAAGTGACAAAAATTTTACTGGACTTACTAAGTTGGTCAATCAATTGATTAGTGAACTCTGTCACTTCGCCCTTATGGTATTTAAAGTAGCTAGAAAAATTCAATACAAGATAATACCAGAGCAACCACATAACCTAATAGCCTTTGTAAAAAATGATGGGTATTTGAGCAGGTTAGGTAAATACACTGCTGTACTCCATAAGAACCACAACTAAAGGTGATACAATATGGTACCTCTGGTAACTATAAATCTTTTAAAAATATCATGTTGTACATACCAGAAGGTGGACATAATTGTTTTCGATAAGTAAATGTGGGATTTATTTGCAAGACAACGTGATTAAGTATTCGTATCTACAGTTGCTCTTCCTATACTTAGTGGCTATACCAGGATCATCAAAAGGCTTGATCTCAGCTGATTTTCCAAGCTATTCTACATAACTCTGTCAACAGGAGACCATTTCTCTTATGAGACCACGCCCCTGAGCTTCAATGATTATATCGGAGTAACTCTCCCAGCCATGTCCGACACTCTCCATGTCATGTAGCTGCCTTGCCTGAAAGCTCAGATTATGGAGTTTAAGGGAAGCTCCATATTTTATATCCTAACTGATCACTGATTGGCCAAGCACTATTTATGGAGCTCTTTATGTAAAAAGCATGGTGCTAGCTTGAGAAGGAATATGAAATTCTATAATACAGTCCCAACTACCTCGCTGGAAAGACAAGTTATTTATTTACTTATTTCTGGAGGCTGGCCAGTACAGGGATCAAACTCTGGACATTGTTGTTATCAGCACCATGCTCTAACCAACTTGAGCAACCAGCAGACTGGGAAAGACAAGTTAAATACATGTGCATCAGGGTGTTCTGGTTGATCCAACCTGAGAGTGAACAGATAACAGTTCTTCATGATACTATTACTCCACTCCAGGGTTTAATTTGCATGAATATTTGTATTCGTGCAAATTCAAGGAAGGGCAGGGAACAGAAAGCTCTGGCTGGGTTCGGAATCCATGTCTACCCACTATTTATCAGCTGTGTGTACCTCTGAGTAAGTAGTATTTACTTTAAACTCCAATGTCTTTTTTTTAACACAAGGATAATAATAGTATATACTTTCTAATGTTATAAGAAGAATAAAATTAGATAGTAAATGTAAAGTGCTTTGCATAGTGTCTGACACCTAATAAGTAAACAATAAATGTTGGTTACTTGAGGAAGTAGTTTTCCAAGTGCCAGTTTCCCCCTTAGTAGAATGAAGATACAACCTGAAGCTAAAGAAATTGCTTATAGGCGAACTTTGTGGGACTTGAGATTTGAGGCTGAATGCTATGAATCTCAATCATATATGAGCAGGCTGGTAGGTCTGATGACATCTGCTTCATTCATATACATATACAATAACAATATAAGGTAGAGTATGCTAATAAAGGGCAAATAAAGTAGTCAAGATAATGGACACTGTGAACCTTAGGGAAGGAAGAGATCATCGTGAGCTAGAGTGTTCAAAGATCTAGAACATCAACTGACCATTGCAGACTGGTGGAGGTTGAGCTGTCTATGGAGGGTCTTTTGAGTAGGAAAAACAGGGAAGCCAAGGTATGGAGAAAGCATATGCATGGGGTTCTGGGGACAATGACTAGAATGGAGGTGGGTGGGTGGTGTGTGCAAAGGAATAGTGGGAAAAAAGGTGAGAAAACGAGCGTGGGGTCATATGAGAATGGCTGAAGTACCTGGATTTGGTCCTGCAGGTGATGGGGAACTAGAGAAAAAAGATTTTGATGTGGGAAACCTATAGTGAAATTAGTGATTGATAAGACTAATCTGGCTTCACATGTGGTATAGAATATAAGAAATGCATATGAATATGTGAACATGGTTAGGAGACTCTTCACAGATGAAGGGGTCAGCAATGTGATATAATATTATACTGGCATAACTTTACTTGCTATTTCCTAAAATAGCATTCACAGGGGAAAAAAATCTAATTAAGAGAAGTATGTTCTTCTCTTAATTTCCATTCATAATTTTCTCATGATTATTTCTCCATGCCCCCTTGGATATGGCTGTAAGCCACAGCTTTCTTGTTTATAAGTTGCATAAGCACTGTTCATGATACACTAACATTTCTGGTGTTGCTCTAATGCAATCTTTGTCTCTCTCCTGTCTCTCCCTTCCCTCTCCCCTCTCTTTCCTCTCTCTCTCTCCTTGGGTCCAATTTAGACCTGTGCTTTGGAAATATAACTGCATTCCTATGAAACTGTCTTAGGCATTTCAAATGCTGCATATGGATACATTTCCATATAATGGTAGTTGTGATAGAACAGTGTCATATAAAAATATTGTTTTCCCTCATTCAGAGTTCCTGAAAAAAAAAGTTCAAATAGATAGGTAGGTAAAGCGACTCAATATTTTGCCAGCTGCTAATCCTGCTGACTATGGATACATGCAGTTGGTTTACATTCTTCTGCCAATATTTGAGTAGAAAAACAAACTTTCATTCAACTGGAGCAATGACTAGGTTTTTTAAGGACATTCTTATACTACAAATACTCACTTGAGCTCTTCAGCAAGATTCTCAGTAAAAGACCATCATGATGCAGTAGGGTTTCCAGAAGCAGGTTCCAATTACAGCTTGGCTGGGATAAGAGCAGTTTCAATTGACCCTCAGCCTTCAATCCTCCAGCTGATGGAGTCCTTTCAAAATGCAAGATAAAGATGGAGTAATGAAGTTAATTTATCTATGAAATTAATAGCCTTAAAGTACAGATGTAATGCTAACTCCTTTAAATGTCAATTCCTCCCAGATTATTCTGAAATGCTTTCATGCTTACTTACTTTAGTGTTGCTCAGGGAAGGAATTACATTTAATCTCAACTAGCTAAAAGCAAATTAACATTTGGTAGCCTCCCAAATTTAAAACTGATACAAAATAATCATGCTTATATTTCATGGAACTTTGTTTTTGTTTCATGGGGGAAAAATCATGTACGCATTTATTTTGAATGCATTCACTTATTTATTCACCAAATACATAATGAATGCCTACTATGTGCTATTAACTCCTTTCATTATTCATGGAAAGAAGTTCAAATAGGTTCTGGCTATGTTCTACGAATGCTGATAAAATTAAAGGAATTCAAAGCTTCTGTCAAGGGTCAACTGTAATCTAATTATTTAATATGTAAAGCCTTAAATCAACATACGGTTATCAGAATTGCTGCTAAAAGACAGACTGCTACCTACTTGGGTAATCATTTCATCAAAGATACATAATTCCAAGGCAAATAAGCTTCTACTTGCAAAATTATCATCAGTGTTGAACAGAAAATCGAAATCAGGTCCCCCACATCACCACTTTCATTTGCCAATGAATCAGCAGAAGATCAGAAAGTACAGTAGGAATTGAAAGCTGATAACATTATTTACCTTTTTTCCTTCTAAAATCTCAAAATTTAGGTTGGCTAAAGGTCACGACATGGGAAATCAGCTTGGAACAACAACAAAACAAAAAGGCAGGAAATGGTCAAACTCTATCTGGTGGCAGCCACAAGGATTATGGGAAGAGGGTGGCATTGGCAAGGAAAGGTGTGACTGAGTGATGTAGAAGTGTGAATGAGCATGAGATGCCTCAGAGCAGAAAACAATGCAGAGCAAAGGGTGTTGCTGAGAGAGACAACTGACGGCGTTATCATTAGTGGATGCAATTTACCAAGTGGTGAGCCAGCCAGTTATCAACACAGCCTAGACCAGTGATTTCAAAGCTTGGGCCCCAGACCAGCAACATCAGCATCCTTGAGAACTAGTTAAAATGCAAATTCTCAGGTCTCATCCCATCAAAAATTCAGGGATGAACCCCAAAAATCTGTTTTAAGAGGCCCTCTCTAGGGAATTCTGAGGTATGTTAAGGCTTGAGAACTACTCTTCTATGCAGTGCTTTCTGAAGCACAGATAGTGGGGATAAGACCAGTTAACATCATCTTTTCTGCCTCTATGCCTTTGTGTTCATATAGGTTGGCTTTGGCTGTAACCTGCAATGGACTGAATGCCTGTGTCCCCCCAAAACCCGTATGTTGAAACCCTAGTTCCAATGTGATAGTATCTTAAAATGGGGACTTTGGGAGGTAATTGGGACACAAAGGTGGAGCCTTCATGAATGGGAATAGTGTCCTTACAAGAAGAGGCCAAAAAGCCAGCTCACCCTCCTTCCAACATGAGGAGACAAGAAGTTGGCTATTGGTACCTGGAAGAGGCCCTCACCAGAACCCGACTGTACTGGTACCCCCATTTTGGACTTCCAGCTTCCAGAACAGTGAGAAATAAAAGTTTGTTGCTTAAGCCATCCAGTCTATGGTACACTTGCTATAGCAGCTTGAGCTGACTAAAACACCACCATACACGCAACCAACTCCCTATAACCATTTACCTTTATCTTAAACCTACCCATCCTTTAATCTGCTGCAAAAATCCCACTTTCTCTGTGAAGTCTTCACTGAAAACTTCTCTTCACAATGGTCTCTCTCACTCTGAGTTAAAGCATTTATGGCAAATATATACATTTTAGCACTATATTATTTCATCAATTAGAGTTTTATCTCTTCACCCAGATTCAAGCCTCATAAAGACACTGGTTTTATACCCAAAACTTCTACCAGTGAACTAAACATATTCTGATTGACTTGTCTGCTCATACATGGGTAGGCAAACTCTTTTTAAAAAGGATGCTTTGCCAGAAAGTTGGGTAAGCAAAAGTGAGGATTCAAAGATATAAAATGAAGACGTTTCAAAGCACCCTCCCCCTGCCTTGGCTTGGTGTTTGGAACATCTCATAACCATAGGATGTGTAAAATCCTTCAGCCTGTGCTTGAACTTTGGCCCAACCAAGGCTTCCCATGTAAAACTCTGATAATGTAACTTGAAACAGAGTAACTCCTTGGGCAGTTGGTGGGGTAGAGTTAGCTGAACTCTTCAGCTAGAGGAATCAAGTTCACCAGTTCTGAGCATTCCAGGAGTTCTGAATTATTTTCCGTGATTTTTCTGGCTTTTGCAGTAATTCCAAATATGATGCCAAAGAAAGAATCTAATAGGTGTGCCCCTTGGACTGAAAAACTGAAGCAAATCCTCACATGGCCATCCCTACTTCCATCCTAAACCCTGAAGGCTGACTTCTAGAAGCTCCCTTGGGGGTCAGTAGAAGAAAAGCAGCTAGCTGGTAGTAAGTTGTATATTAAAACTGACTTGGTCTGTGAACATTTCCTACCTATATATTATGCTTGAGTTGAGTGCTGCTTTAAGGATACATTTAATGAACTGAAAGATCCAGTTTGGCTGGAGTGTAGGAAGGGAGGGGGATCTTTGAGAAACAGGCTGAAGAAAGAGACAAGAGCTAGATCATGGAGGGCCTCATTATCCCAAGGTGGGAATTTGTACCCATTGAAGAGTTTAAGGCAGAGGAATTTCCTGATTTGGTTGAAGGATGGAGAATGAATTGGAGGTGGTTAGTGTTTTTGCTCAGCCCTTCAGTCATGTAATAAAACAAAATAATTTGAATGTCATTTCATACCACTGTTTCTGAGTACCTGGTTATAAATAAAATCTCTCATTTACCAGATGGAAAGCTGTTTGTTGAAATGTACCTCAGTACTTGGATCGTTCAACTCATCACAGATTTTGAAATGTACAGTAGAATGACTCACTATGAGGAAAAATAAAATAGTACAAACATTCCTCAATCACCAAGCTCTGAGTAATAAACGCATTGAGGAGTCTGTGCTGGGCATATGGAGAAGCATATGTTCCCTCATCCTTTGAGCTGGTGGAGCTGTGAAAGTGAGATGAGCTGCACAAAAAAATGACAGAAAGGGAGATTTTATATATATGTATGTATGTACCAAATATGTACATGTTGAATTCTACTATAATACAAAGAAGAGAATGAAAATTTATAAATCCAGTAGAACTCATAAAGCTTATACTGAGAGACAGAATGAATTTATAGCTGGATTGTATTAGGCTTATAGTCTAATAAGTGCTATATTTCTGGGTCATGAATTGGCCTGAAAAAATTTTCAAATCCAGGTAGTAATGGGGTTCAAGCAGTACTGGTTTATGAAACTAACAAATTATTTTTATAGCATCATTGGGAAAAATCTTAGCTGTCTTCAGGTGAGTTTATTTTATAAAAATTCATCAATTAGTCCACTTATAATTTCCACAGGTTTTTGGTATGTACTCATACTGCAATAGAAAGTTAAAAAAATCTTAGCTGTATCAGTGTATACTGTCCTGACATCCAACTCAATTGTGAATAAGGCCCAGGCCAAAAGAAGTCTCTCTGGTAGGTTTAGACTGTGATATAAGCAGCCTTACTGCTCAGGCCATACGACTCACCATATATGCACCATGGCATTCATTGATCCTTTCATATATATGTCGTGCAGAAGCTGCCAGACTAGTAGAATATAGGAATGGACTCTGAAATGCACAGCTTGGGGATGACAACTAGCAGTGTTGGGGCACTCTCTGTCAAGATTTGATATTTGTGTTGAACCAACAGTCATTTTATGGTACTGTGACTCCCACAGATTAACTACACAGGTCTGGGAGCTAATGGGTGAAAGTAGAAGGTGTTCCCCTTGCCAAAGTGCCTGATGAACCACTTGGTAAATATGTAAATATGTGCTTTCCATCATCATAACTATAGCTTCTGTGGGAGCAGAGGTTCTAGTTTCCATGGTGGGATGGGGTGTGCACACCTCTACCAGGGGACCAGTTAGGATTTCACTACATCTGGTCATTTTTGACTCCCCATGCCAGCAGTATCATCGGGCAAAGAAAGGAGTCACTATATTGGCAAGGGTGATTAATCCTAATTATTATGAGGAGCTAGGGTTGCTGCTGCATAAAAGTAGCATGGAGGAGTATCTGTAACTCAACAGATTCACCAGTGCATCTCTTGGTGCTTTCATAACTGATAATAACCCTTTTAGAGGAGACTGCAGCAACCACAGTCTGGTAAGGGAATGGTAACTGGGGGCTCAACCCTTTGAAGATGAAGGTCTCAGTGACTCCACTGGGCAAGCAATATAAATCAGCAGATGCAATGGCCAATGGTAAGGGTAAGATGAAATAGGTGGTAGAAGAATGTAATGATGAATACCATTTTCAGACTGAGAAATAACTGCAGCAGGGGGTACTCTAGCCTGTCCCACTGACTCTAATGTAATTAAACTTTGAAGAATCAACGATAGGACTCAGAAATTTATCATAGGAAATGAGTGGATCTCAGTGGAGCAAGCAGAACATAGCAGATGTTGTCAGAGATTCCACATCAACTTGCCCTTACCTCTCAGTTCACACAGACTGACTTACCTCTGTGAGAGCCTGTGTTTCTCTACCTTCCAGCAAAACATGCTGTAAGTGTCAGGGAACTGATACCCCAGGAGCAGCCCTCAACCAATGGCTGATCAGAGTTGGTATATAAATACCTCGGCATCCTTGCTCCTTTGGCAAGATAACTCTGAAATATATATCTTACGCTGCTTCTCAGAATTTCATTGGAAGGTTTAAGTTCAAGTCACTCCTGTGGTAGTTGGCTTGATTACACAAATCTGTATTTGCTGTCTTCCTTTCGTTTTCTCACTTACACAATCCCTTCCAGTGTTTCCTCTACTTACAAAATAAACTAACTTGGATCC